GGGTGTAAGGGATAATTTATGTTAAATATTTTATTTAGTGAGCTGAAAGAAGTTCACGAGCCAATGATACACAGATTATAATTCTACCATGATCAGAATCCATATACTTCAATCATGATATGATAACAATTTATGTAACCATTCAGTGATTTTCAGAATGTAATTATAATCATTCTAGTGAGATATTAAACATTGTTTCTTTGGAGTTTTTAATGCATTTAAATAATCGTTACAGGTTTTTCAAAATATGGTATGTGAAACTGCTATAAAATGCCCAGATGTTAGCAAAAGTTTGGTCTTTTATTTTCTAACACCTTTTTCTAACACCTATTCCTGTATAATTTTAGAATATTTCATATAAACGCAACACATTTCACATCTTCATAACAGTCCGTAGTGTTTAAAAAAGTACTTACTCAATTTTTCATATTAATCAGACAAGTAAGAGAAGAAGATCGTCTTAAAAGCCTTCATCAACATTCTGCTTTGTATTTCCAAAGCTCCATTTTGAGAAATATTTACTGGCTTATAGAGGATCCCTGGGAAGCTAGACAGGTCTTACTTAAAGAGATGTCTCAGGAATTTACTGGAAACACCATAAAAATGTGTGGTTGGGATGTCTGGATCAAGGATATTTCTGGGCTTCACTTAACATTTATCCTTATTTTTGACTAAAAATATTACTTGGGACACCAGGTTTTCAAAATATTACTCAAAAAAGGAATTTCTGGTTGAAAAATTCGGAATCTTCTTATTGGAAATTCACAGATCACAATAATACACTTGAGTTCCCAACAGTTACCCCATTAAAATATATTGTTTAGCTCTGTTTAAAGAGCATTTCCTCAGGTGTATGTGCTGGTGTGGTCTATATGAACCAACCAGATCGATCGTTCCTTTTTTCTTTTTCCCTTTTACTAAATGCTACCAATTTGGGATTCCATCAAATACTCTTCAGGAAACACTGCTCCATTCCCCAAGGCCTTGAGATCCTCTGTATCATCATCTCAGTCTTGTGACTGTGGCAGGCCGGAGTGTAGTCCTGGAAACAGGCATTTAGGAAAACAGTAAAATCTTAGAAATCCCCGAGGGTTGTTCAAAATATGATTCCAAGTTCAACTGCTATTTCCTAGGGCACAGTGAGTTGTTTGTTGAATCATGCTTTTCCAGTACGTTCAGAAATACGATAAGTAATGAGCTCTGACAATGATATGTTCACTAAAAGGAGTGCTTTCCAGCCCCTGGATTCCCAGAAAATGGATAACTGCTTGCCAGGAAAACATGTCTGTGCTGCAGAAATTGCCATAAAATATGGAAAAAAAATGATAAGAAGTTATATTTGGGTTATATGTTTGAATATAACCAAGCTTCAAATAACCAAAATTTTCAATGATTATGAAAAACTTCAGATGAGCAAGCATGACAGGGATTGTCCACTCAAGTGGACCAAGAACTTGAACTTGAAGCCCTGCTTGTAACTCAATTGTCAAAAAGAAGTTCTTCTTTGATTTAAAAAGAAATCCTTTGTGATAGTAACACAACAAGGTGAATGCACTTCGTGGCACTGAACAGTACACTGTTCAGTTAAAATGGTTAAGATGGCAAACTTTTTGCTACATGTGTTTTACCACAATTTAAAAAAAATAAAATTATGCTTTGAGATCCCACTTCAATAGCAATATAGTTTTAGATATCTGTTAGAATTACATGCCTTGTAATAAAATCAGATTCCTAAAAGTATGTAAACCTAGCATGATAGAGGAGAGACTGACTCACTGGGAAACTCTCATCTCCACCAACAAAGAAGGCAGTAATGGGTGTGGGAAAGCACAAACAGTGGTCAGAATTGGGGGGGTATATTCTCTGCTTTCACTACTTAAATCCTCATCACTTTAGGGCTACAACAGCTTTGAAAGTGAAACTCCCTCCTGCATGCCCTTCTGTAAATTTGAAATGTAATTCATGATTTTTTTTTAAAAAAAGTTACTTCACTTCTTCTAGTAGCATTGAGAGTAAAACTTGCTCTAAGGTTAGGTAGAAAACATTTGATTTATCATAGGGTGCATTAATATAGGGGAATTAACAAATTTGAGACATATTCCTAGGCAAGGATTAATGAGTTCTAAAAGGATGGAGAATGGTAAAATTGATTGCATAGCCAAGAATATCTAAAACTTTTGTTCATGTTGGCTAAGGTAGTCTCCTGATTGTAACTTTATGAGGACAGGAAATGTATCCATCCTGTTCAATACTATTTTTTTTTTCCTGGCTAAAACAGTACCTAGTGTAATATGTACCTAATAAAGATTTTTAAATGATTTAGTCATTAATTGTAATATTACCTAATAAAGATTTTTAAATGATTTAGTTATTAATTGGTGATAATTCAAATCATTTATTAACTGAAAATAATTTACTTGATGTCACTTTTTAAGCAGTACCAAAAATATTATTATTTTAGAGAAGCCCCAAACAACTTAGAAATGCAAAATATAAAAAAAAATAAATTGAAAACCTGTGTTTTTGGTAATGCTTAAAAAGTGACATCACATAAATTATTTTCAGTTAATAAATGATTTGAATTATCACCAATTAATCATTTAGATATCTAATCAGTCACAGGTTCCATCATTCACCAAATACTTTCTCAAATTCATCCAAATCTCACATATGGAATTTTATTCATAAGCCAATGACTACATTTCAAGAGACCAATATTGTCAACACTTAAGCACTTCATATCCAGTTCTTCACATGAATCTTTTTGTCTGTTGGACTATTGTTGAACTTTCCTCATGAAATCTGAGCAATAAAATTACATTTCATAAATGTTTTTGTATCCTTTTAGAAGCATTAATGTATAATTTCCTACATATTTTAAGATATTCCATGGAAGAAAAATACTTTAAAATATTAATATTATTTTAATTAATTAATAGTCCTCAAAATTTGAGCTATTTGCATACAAACATTAAAATGAGAAGTGATTAAATGTTTCATGTAATCCTGATATAAGATTTAGAGATGAAAAAAAAGTACCAATATTTGGAAGAAAATGAAGAGGTATCCAACTGTTTTTAAATATATATCCCAGATTTCAGTGATTGGTATTGGAGTTTTCGATTTAGAAACACTAAAATGTAAACAGGAAAAGTTGGAACATAGTTTCCACATGATTAGCTAAAAAAGGACAAAACTTTAGAATCGCTTTGAAACCTATTTTAAAAGCTCACCTACTTTGATTTTTTTTTCTATTACAGAACCATGAAAAGTTATTTCAACTGAATTGCATACATAACTCCTAGAGTGTAGACAGTTGCTATTATTTGTTCACTTCATCAAAATGCTCTTTTAAATTCTTGCTACATCTGTATTACCAGGTCTTGGAGAAACCAAGGTGAAAGAGGCCCAGGAGAGGCCAGACCCTCTTTGCTATTTCTAACAAAGGAAATGCCATTCTTGCCACTAACTCTTGGAATGATTTCCAAGTTCTCTAAAAATAATTTAACCTGTGTCAAATAGCTGTCTCATCTGGAAAACTCAATAAATGAATGTAGAAGTTAGAAAGAGTAGGGAAAGTTAGGTGTTACACTGAAATGGTATATCCCAGGCATGTTGGGTTGGGACTCCAAATTAGCCAACACACTTCCATCCATCTGCTTACTTTTCTTTAAACTTGAACTATATTATTGCAGAAAAGCATAATAATCCCCACTCTGATCTTGTGTTTCAAATAAAAGTGCCTAAAGCATCACAGCACAAGCACTTTTGTAAAGAGGTTAAATATTAAGCGTGGATGAATTTCCTTTGGGGATCAGCAGTTCTATATTAAAGGACAGATTATTCAGAGATGAAAAGTAGGAGAAGTAATTTACAAACTATTCCTATTCAGTGACAAGGATTCCAATTTTGCATTGAACTGTAGCTTAAAGAGTACATACCTAACAATAGATTCTTTACAATTTTGTGCAAATTATTTCTTGGTAACTAAATCACACTTTACCCAAATAGCTAAACCTCAGGCAAATCCTTATATAATGTGAAAGTGAACAGTATGCTTTATTTGTTCTAAGCATGATGGTTTTATATATTATTTTCTTCTTTTGAAACATTTTTAACATGGCAGTTATTAGAAACCATATTTTAAAATGATGTTATATGATTTTGGAAGGAAATTACATTTTATACATTTTTTGGCTATCATATTATTTGAGATTAACATTTATTATACATTCATCTACATGTGAAATATTGCCTCTAATGATTTTCAGAATGTGCTAGTGTCCTCAAGCAAGAGAACTGTACTATTTTAGGAAGTCTGACTGCACTGACCATTAATTTTTGCAGGATATCACTCTGCTAAAGTTTGGAGCCTAAGTTTCTCCCAAAGGTCTTTGTGGTGAAGACGTGGTCTCTGGCATGGCACTATTGGGGAATGATGGAATGTTCAAGAGGAGGGGCCTAGTGGGAGGTCTTCAGGCCATTTGGAGCTTGTCCTTGAAGAGGATAGTAGGTTCCTGACCATTTTCTCTTCTTCTTTCATACAGTGGCCATGAGATAAGCAGGTTTGCTCTACCATGTCCTCCCACGGTGATGTGCTGCCTGCATCCCAAGATGCCCCAAAGCAATAGGCCTAACCAGTCATGGACTGGAATAGCCCAACCTGTGACCCCAAATGAACCTTTTTTCTTTAAAGTTGATAATCTCAGTATTTGTTATAGTATTAGAAAGCTGACTAGTACATATACAAAGATGATTTTTTTAAGGTAACCAAAATGACAATGGAAACATTCTGGATTTTAAACATTTTTCTATTTCATTTTTAATATGAAAGAGACAAGTTGTAAAAATTTTTTAAAGAAAAGGGACTGTGGCAAATTTTATATTTGTTCTAGCTGACTATATCAAGATGAAAGTGGAACTCCACTTGTCTAAAAGTCTTGTGATAGTGCAAATATAGGTTCATGCTATGGCTTTCTTTCCTGCTTTCATAAGTGTGTGTGTGTGTGTGTGTGCCCACTTGCCTCTACGTGTGTATGTGCATGTCCAGGGTGGAAAAGATTATGAAATAAGATAATATATGGAATGTCTAACCCTTGCTGAGAACTGGTGCTCAACACTTGGCCTCTGACTAACAAAGAAATAGGTGATATATATGAAAAATTTTGCCAAAAAAAATCTATAATTCTTTTCTTTCTACTAAATCTAGAGTTGCTCTTACATCTTACTGGAGATTCTCAGGTAAGGAAAAGAAATCTGATTTCTTGTTATTTACCCTCTTTGAGTTACTGTCTTTAATAACTGCTAAAAATGAAAGAAGCACACAGGTGGATACTAGCCCAAGAGAGAATGTTGGTTTTATGCTGCTTAGTCTCTCTGTAGGTTAGATAGTTATAATCCAGAGAAAAGAAAAATGTTGAATAAGGAAAGTGGGCAAATGTTCAGAAAAAAACATGTTTTTTAATTGACTCCAACAAATAATTGGAATACTAATTACTATATAAATAGTTAAAATGCATGTAAATGTAAAACTTTAATTCCAAATATTGAATAAAAATTAAAAAGTAAATTGTATCTCTTTTAATACTAAGCTAAATTATTTATAAAGAATCCCTGAGGAAATGCTCTCTCGTTAGAATCTTTATTTCACTTAATGACATTAATTGTGGCATAGCTTTCCATGCAGGTAGGCTGAAATAGAGGAAGATAAGTTTAAGAAAGATTAACAACTGTATTGAATTGATAGAAACTAGTATTTTTCATCCATTCTGCCTTCAATTTATCCTAAATCAGTTTTGATTTTAAAGACTCTCTCGTCATTTGTATAAATAACATCGAGTCGTGTACTTTTGCTATTTTCTATTTCTGAAAAAGCATGGGAAATGGGTAACCTGAGTAACATTTCCAATCAAGAGAGTTATTGTTTGTTAATGTAAATTAGCTAGCAGTCTGAAAATCTAAATGTTTATAAAATATTTGAGAGCAAAAATAAAATTGTATTTATCATTGTGTCTTTCTTGGGCTTTTCCCAGGGCCCATTTTATGCTTACAAGTGGCTGTAAAATTATCCTAAATGATGAGCAATTTGATTCAAGATTACCAATCTGGATTAAGAGTCTAAATCCAATCTGGTCCTAATTTATGGGAAATTCATGTCCCCCAGAGTAGGCTAAGCACTGGCCTTAACCACTTCTATCTGCTTTTTTTTTCCTGCCTCCTGGCCAGCGACAGGAAAAACAGCACTAAACATTTTGATGATTCACTGTAAATATGTATGTCATCCTTTTCCCCTGATCTTTATGTGGCTAGAATCTTAAGAGTCTGCCACACCAAGAGTCATGTTTGAAATACAATACATTAGCAATGTGAAGCAGAGTTAGCTGTGAAGCAGGATCCCCAGAATAAATAGATGAAATTCTAGACATTTCTAAAGAGGATCCAGCTCCTTAATGGCCACTGAGGTCTTCACTGAATAGGTGTGAATATTTCAGTGCAGTCCAACCTGAACTGAAAAGCAGTACTTCCTTCCAAATTTAAATACCTCCTGTGCACATAAAAAAAGAGGTTCTTTTATTAGTCCAAATGTTACTATGGTTCGGATCCTGAAAAAACATTCTCTTATTCTTGGGTTATGTTCTTCAGCAAAGGGAAGTTGGGAAGTTAGGCGAGGGATTGAACTAATGAGTGGAAGTGATAAACTGGAGACGTCCCGTTTTCCCCTCATAACAAGCAAGGCTGGGAAGAAGATGGTTGAGAAAGTACATCTCTCTGCCAAGTTCAGATGATAAACTGTGGGTGAACTTCAACCAAAGTCTATTAGCCAACCAATAATCTGCTGGTATTTGGTTACTGAGGATGGTCCAAACCATTTTCCTCGCAGGTTGGACCCATCCTCCTTGAGGGGCAAGTGCAGTTCCCGTTGAGAGGGTTGCAAGTAGCTCCCTGAGCACATTGGCACTCCAGAGCACAGTTCCATCCATACTGGCCTGGCTTGCATTCTGTGAGAGAAAATAAGTAAAAATGACAGCAATTCAAATATGTTTCTCAAGCACCCTTTTCTTCTCACTGTGACTTCTTGGAACACAATAGGAAAATGATAGACTTGAAAAAAAAAAACAAAAAACCTTTTTGTATCCTGTGGTATCTTTTCCCCATGCTAGAATGTTGTATAATGAAAGCAACTATTTCAAAAGCAACCAGGAGGAGGGTAGTGGATAAGAAGGAAGTGTGTGTGACAAAATGGGAAGAGGAGAAGTCAGGACAGCCACTGATATTTTTAAAGTGCTTTCCCAGAATTAGATTATTCAGTAACATTTATAGAAGTAGCATTGTGAGGGACACAGGGAAAATGGATTAATTGCCTGGAGGTCAGAAAAAAGGCAAGATGCACCCTGAATACACAATACCTGAGACTTGTCTTCAGGTTAAAAACACGATTATTTGTGCTTCTGTTGTTGAAAGTGAAATGGCTTTAAATTCAACTCTTTCATCTCTTAAAATATGTCAAGGGGCCATAGATCCCCTGTGTGTGAGCTGCTGCAAAATCCCGCTCTATGCACTGAGAGATTCAAACCATCTCTAAGTTGAATCGTACTATACTTACAACCAGTAGGAAAATGAAGGGAAGGAATAAAAAGTGTTAGATTTATAAATAACTAAATGTGGAATAAAAGGGGACAGCCTGGTTGTTTGCTCTTTTAGTCTGGTATCCAGGAAAGAATTAGCAGAGAAAAAAAAAAAAAAAGGTTCATTTTTTGAAGGATTGTGAGGATAAGAAAGCCCAGCCCAGCCCACAGGAAAAAAGTAACCTCACATTTCCTGGCCAATCTGGCAGGACTGAGAAGTCACTCAACTTACCAATGTTTAAGGATCAGAGAGACTTCGCTTTGCTTTCAGGACAGTCACCTACTTTTGTCCCATTAGCAAAGGGGGTTCTTCTTAATACATTATCTTAATTGATTTTAACAAATACCTTTAAGTTGGGCATGGCAGTGAGGTAAGCTCTCCCATTCTAGAGAGAAATAAACTGAGGTTTGATATGGCATAAGTGACCTTCTTAATTGTTACATCCTTGCTGAATGGCAGGGCTGCATTTCTGAATTCTCACCTAGTGTTCTTTCCTCTTCCTGCACTACTACGAAGAAGACATAAGGCATATGTAGAAGAAAGCTCAAAACAAGAAAGTAGCAGGTTGGAAAAAGTAAAAACTTCAGAAATATCATTATAAACATGAGGATATAGGTAGGAGTGTTAATTTGACCCCATGGGCAAAATTTTGTTGAATACATCTTTATTGCCTCAATATCCTCTTTTCTGGATTAGAGATTGGTTCCTCATAAATATTTCATGAGCAGTTGGATGCTTAGTTTAGTTTTTCAACTCTCTTGAAGATAGGCTAAGTTGTGGTCTACCTCTCTCATCTTAATCAACTAATTAGATTAATTAGATTTTAAATATGAAGCAAATAGAAACACAAACCGATTTTGTAACTTTTTTTTTTAAACGGGGCTCAATGTTAGCAAACAGCAATTCAATCTCTTCCTTCAGAACGAAGCTTTGGAGGCAGAGCAAATGGTGCTTTCAAATAATTCTTTTCTCTAAACTACTGAGCTTTGTGAAAAAAAAAAATAAGAAGTTATATGTTATTTCAAATTTAGCCCCACATGCCCACCTTGGTCCAGTGTACTGCAGGATTACTTAGTTTGGTGGTAAGACCACGTTTCCTTGTTTGAAACAGTTATTAGTCAGGATCTCTCCTGAGCAGTACAGAATCTGATTTTAATTTATAAAAATACCACATTTTCATGTTAATAACGATGTGTATTTAAGACATCTGTTTGAATGTCTGAAAATGTTAATTTACCAAGGGGGGGAATAATCCAATAAAAAGTTGTTACATTCTTTTATAAATTAATATTATGGCTGTTTAATAGGCCCTTTACCAGAGTTCAAGTTAAAATGAGGTCTTTTATCTTTATGGCGCCTGCATAGACACAGCTGCTCACAGTTAATATCGCAGATGAACTGTGCCTAATTGAAAATAAAAATGCAAATAAAAGACCTGGTAGTGCATCTGTGTAGGCTGTGGGCACCTTCATGAGCTCATGACAAGAGGGACCTTGGGGTACCCATAGATCCACAGTAATGTGGCAATTTGCTTCTGGATGATGAGAGATATGTGATACAGAAATTTAGACTATAGAAGATAGAGGCTTCTTTAACTTACATCCTGTCCATAAGCTCTCTTAGTTTAGTGATTAGTTTTAATACACTGCTGGGTGCTATCCAATAAAACATTCTGCAGTGATGGACATGTCCTATATTGTGCTATCCAGATTGGTTGTGAATAGCTTCATGTGTTCATTGGGTGCTTGAAGTATGTCCTGTGTAAGGGAGGAGGTGAATTTTAAGTTTTAAATTTAAATTGATTAGCAATATATGGTTAATGACTATCATATTGGACAGTGCATATGGACAAGCAAAATCACTTCCTATTCTTTCTGTCCCCTGAGAGGTGATATAATGGGGATGGTAAAAGTTCAGCTCTGAACCCAGACTATCTATTTCACATTCCTAATCTGCCACTTCCTAGCTGTGTAACAGTGGGCAAGGTACTTAGCTGTTGTTTTTTTTTTTTTAATTTTTTTTTTATTTCAGCTTCCTCATCTATAACACGAAAGTGGTGATGACAGGAAGGGCACAGAAAATAAACTAAAATGCACGGTACATAATGCGCATTCAATAAACATATGTGGTTGTCTTCAGTGTTCAGGTGGGACCACAAATGCTATAAGCATTCTGCTTTTAGTGCCCATTCAATGAATGACGTATGTACTGCAGATATTTGTTCTGATAGATTTAGTTGTGACAAGGTTCAAGTCCTCTGTCCACTCTGACTTGTGAAGAATGCTGAGAAGAGAAGAATCCTTTCCACAAACATTTGCTGAAGCTTATCCTGTGTTAAACTGTGCTCTAAGCTTTTTTTCTGGTAAAAGAAAAATTTAAAAATAATATGGACTGGACTCTCAAAAAGCTTATAGTACACATGGATCAGAAATTTAAATGACATAGTTTTGCAAAAGAAAGAAAAGAAAGAAGAGGAAGAAAGGGAGGGAGGGAGAAAAGAAAGAGAGAGAGAGAGAAAAGAACTCCCCCCCAAGGTTGGAAAAGCCAAAGGATTCCAAATCAATATTCATAACCTCCTGCTCATATTATATAAGTTATATAAGTTCCATTATATAAAATGGAAGAAGAGATAATAAGGAATATAGCATTCTTGAGAGCCATTGGTGGTTTCTTATTCTGGAGTATATGTATACATTCACGTACAGTATTGCCTACGGATAGCCTTGCACAAAGTCTGGAACCAGACTGTCTGGGTTTAAATCTTGGTTCTGCCGCTTGCTAACTTTCTGTGCTCCAGCTTTTTCTTCTGACAAATAGGAATATGACTGACTAGTGACAACCTTGTAAGGTTGTGGTGAGAACAAAAAGAACTGAGGCAAAATATTTAGGATAATCCCTGTCATTCAAAGAAATCAGCTGTATTGCTATCGCTCAGAAACAAGTGGGATGTACAGAGGTGAAAGCGCTGCTGAACAGCATTTTTTTTTTTAATGAGCTAGAAGGTTACTGTGGCTTTCTTACCATTATCATAACCCCACGTTATAGGATCATAGATTATTAGTGCAGGAAATGATCTTAGAAATACATAGTCTTAGCCTTTCTCTTTTTGAAGATAATAAAAGTAAATTCTGACATTAAACACACTGTTTTGGGTCATATATGAGGCAGGCTCGGTCTTTCAGGACTATTGTGAATTATTTCAAGCCTTTTGATCTGGCGAGCATTCATCAAGTCTAATAATAAATGATTAGTCAGCAATCATCTCAGTCTATTCTATCCTCTTCTTAGGATAGTTCCTGAAGAATCAGAGCTTTTCATTCTGGGTCATTTTTCCTGTGATTGGAAAGGAAAATAAAAGTATAGATTTCAATTTGCAGAGACTACCTGGGAGCTTCAGTCTCAAAAATATTTCTGGGACTGTGTATGATAATTACTTTATTTGATTGAATTCTGTGAGTCACCTTTGTTATCAGGTTGACTATGTAGGTACTTACCTTATGCCCTCTGTCAACCAAATTGCCAGTGTGGGTGCCTATGATGTAAGAATACAAACCTTGATTCATCTTGCTAAAGGGCAAGGTGTAAAAGCAATATTTGGACAGTGTTCTTTAATAGAATGTTATTTCTAGCATAAAAGTGTCTGCAGATCTCTGTGTGAGCATGGATCCAAGGGGAGTTCTGAGGTGCTCTGGCTCATACCGGCTTCACATCGAGCTCCAGTTCTCCCTGGTGGGCAGAGGCATTTCCCAGTTACTGGGTGGCAGTAACTTTTTCCTTCACAGTCACAAAGCTGATGGCAGTTGTCTCCAAACATTCCCAGCAGACACTCTACAGAGGAAAGAGAAACGCTGAAATATGAACCCTTTGAGATTTCACGGATGGAAATGTGCTACACCGTGGGCGTTTTAGTCAGCTTTTTCACCGCTGTGACTAAAGGATGCAACCAAAACAACTGTATAAAGGAGGAAAGGTTTATTTAGGGGCTCATAGTTTCAGAGGTCTTAGTCCAGAAAAGGCTGGCTCCATTCCTCATGGTGGAAGAATGGAGCAGAGGGAAGAGGCTCACATGGTGATCAGAAAGCAGAGAGAGGGGTCTCCACTTGCCAGATACAAACATATACCCTAAAGCCATGCCCCAATGCCCACCTCCTCCTGCCACACCCTACCACTTTAGTTACCACTTAGTTAATCCCAATCAGGGGATCAATTCACTGATTGGGTTAAGACTCTTACAACCCAATCATTTCTCCTCTGAACTTTCTTGCATAGTCTCACATGTGTGCTTTTGGGGAATACCTCACATTCAAACCATAACACTGTGCTTTCCAATATGGTAGTCAATAGATACAACCGGCCACTGAGAACTTGAAATGTGTCATGTGTGACTATGGAGGTGAATTTTAAGTTCAATTAAACAGCAACATTCTGTTAATGACTACCATACTGAACAATGCAACCTTTAAATTGAGATTAATGATAAAATCATCAAGATAACAAATAAAATCATCCAAATAGCAAAGTGGGATGACAAAATGAGATTTGCTGGTCAGAAGAAGAAAGTTTTAGAATTCTCAGAAATAAGGTTCATTCTCATTTGATATTTAGGATTTAAAATTGACTTACTTTGACACTGGTTTATATTCTTGAGAAAATAAATAAACTGAAGATAGAAATTTAAGGAAGAATACCAAGTCTACTGGCTAAGAGTGTTATTTTTTTAATATTTCCCTCAAAGTGTTATTTATTGTGCATCTTTCTAGAAGACTATACATTCTATATCTTCCATTATATTTCAAGAATTTAACACAGAAACAGGCACCTAATAGTTATCATTTTATTGAATCACTAAATAATATATGAATAGAGGATGAATAAGAGATAAAATATGTAAAGCTTTAGTGACATCTGAGAATATGTTATGGGACTAATAGAGATGCTTTGAAAAAGTCACAGACAATAACTTGATCTATCACATAAAGTTAAATTTCTATTATCATTATATTATTAACATCATCATGATCGTTGTAATTCTGTGCATAAGAATGTACACAAAATAGGTAAAAATGGTACTCCTAGTTGTTAACCCCAAACTATGTAGTCTGCCTGGCATTACTTCTAATAGAATTGATCAGTGTCATTGAGGGTTTTATAATATTTCAAATTGAGTAGCCTAAGTTCTTATCTTTATATCTTCATAAACACTCATAGCTGTGATCACATTCTGGTGATAAATGCCTAAATCACCTCTTTTAATATTTTCGTAGTCTTTGTATTAGCATCAGTACCATTGAACTCAATATATAAGTCATATTTCTTCAAAAATATTTAATGAACTCTTTCCTTTCATTCAGAGGTAGAATCTTCATCTGTTGAAGACCAACAGCTTCAACTGTGTTCTGAGATGTTAAACAATTTCATTTAAGGGAAAATAACATTTTTGTGTATAAAAGTCAACAACAAATCAGAAGCAACAATGAAGAAGCAAAATCAGAAGGACCCATTAAATTGGTCACTGAGTGAATTCCTGTTACTTTGATGTCAGAAACTATGAGATTGTTACATATTTTCAGTTTGGGTTTGCATGTCTGCCCCTGGTTAGGAAGATCTCACAGTCACACAGAATGTTCATGTCTTATGCTTAAAATGACTCTGGCTATACCTTTTTCACACTGGCTGCCATGAAAACCTGCTGGGCAAATGCACTGTCCACTTCTTATATCACAGCTGCCTCCATTTTTGCAGTCACAGATGTGAGCACAATTCAAGCCATAAAAACCAGGTGGGCATGCTGGAAAACAGAAATGTCAAAATGCTATTTTAACTCTTAAAAATAAATAAAGGAAAAATTAAAGAATATGCTCCAGGTCATTTGTTTCTAAAGACCAAATAAGGAGAAGGAAAAAGAAAATTTGAAAATAAGAAAAAGCTATATGGAGAAGCACATCGACAACAGTTTACTCATATGAATAAGTGAACATACAGATGCCATCCTCTGAGACTAGTTTAGAAACACCCATAAGATAATTTGAAATATCTTCAAGTATGTGGAATTTAGTTGCTCTGACGTACCATAGTTGGCAAAAACATCACTAAACCCTGTCAAACTATAAACACCTAAAAGAACAGTCTTCAAACTTCAGATTAAAGATAAGTTTAATGATAATAATTTTGAATTGTTTTTTCATAAGACAGTGTCTGTGGAAGATGATTCATATAGTTTTTTTAAGAGAGAGAGAGAAGAGAGAGAGAAAGAATTTTGTAATATTTATTTTTCAGTTTTCAGTGGAAACAACATCTTTATTTTATTTTTATGTGGTGCTGAGGATGGAATCCAGTGCTCCGAGCATGCCAGGCATCCCCAGTCCCTTATATAGTTTTTGATATTTAAAATCCTGGGAATGGACAACAGAGAGGGTATGAAGCACAGTGGGAAGGGGAGTAAAGGAGAGAGAAAGAGGATAAAAAACAGGAAATATGGTGCACATCTTACATGGATGTTGGAAATTTTGGGGAGAGGGGTACTGGGAATTGAACTCAGGGGCACTCAACCACTGAGCCTCATCCCCAGTCCTATTTTGTATTTTACTCAGAAATAGGGCCTCACTGAATTGCTTAGTGCCTTGCTTTTGCTGAGGCTGACTTTGAACTCTAGATCCTCCTGCCCTAGCTTCCTGAGCTGCTGGGATTACAGGTGTGTACCATCTTGCCTGGCCAGAATTTGGAATTTATAGTCAATGAAATTGAATCATTGAAAAATTTCCTTACATCACCTATTAAATACAATACACAACTGCCTTCTGGTAAGTCCAGCATGTTCTATTTTTCCTCCAGAGTTGAAGATCACTACTTTTGTAAGTTACTTTTTGTAACCATTAGGAATGATGGTTCACCTTTAGAAACCTTGTATCCAAGCAAATGTCTTTCTTTATAAGCTAAATTGTTATCTGCCTAAGGAGATGGTCCTCTTTGAAGTGTTCCAGAACTAAGCCTGACTAGAACAAAGTATCTCCATTTCTTATCTCCAGGTTTCCTTAGAGATAAGTCTGCCATCCACCTATGAAACAAAGTTTACTCACCCTTTAATTTTCATTATTTCCCCTTGTCTTTCTTTCTTTCCTACTTTCCTTCCATCCATCATCCTTCCTTTCTACTTTTTATCTCTCTCTGTCTCCCCTGGTTCCCTACCCCGTTTGGGGCACAGAGAGCTGAGTTTGCCCATGTTGATGGAGTTGACCCTTCTCATGTCTGCATAGAGTTACTCAGGACAGATGTATCATTAGGAAAGAAATTAAGGAGTAGAAAAAGGAGGCAAACACAAAAGGAAATAACAAGAGAATTATATATATATATATATATATTCCTCCATTTACAGATCTTAAAAAACAAACAATAAGTGGAAATCTAGTTCAGATTTTTCTGCTTTTCATTCTTATGAAATTAATTTTAATTGAGACTGCATTCAAAAATCAGATTTTTTCTATATTTAGTTATGTATAAAACTAGGATCATAAAGGTAGCCTTGCTTGACCTTTTCATTCCCTTAAATAATACTATTCTTCCATGTTTCCTGGTTTGGAAGTTTAGAATCATCTTTGAATTTTTCATTTTCCTTATATCCACGTCCACCTCAATCACTAATGCAGTCGATAGTTTTCTCAAAATGTTCATTCATTTCCATTTCATTCCAATCCAGATTTTTAAAACCCTGGATTATCATGCAAGTTTCCCAGGTGTCCTCCACTGATGAGTCCTTTTCCTAATAATCAATAATGTACCCACATTCAGAGTTATTTCATCAGAGTGATATTTCTTATTTACTCAAAACCTTCCCTGATATCCCACTGCATGTAGGATAAAATCGATGGATTTCAAATAAATATTTTTCTTCTTTTATCTTTTATTCCAATTTCAAAAACAAAACAAAGAAAGAAACAAAACCATAAGACATTTGTTCCCATAGTCCCTGATCCAAAAAAAAAAAAAAAAAAAAAAAAAAAACCTCAACTTAGAATCATTGCCAGAGTTCTAAACTCTCAAAGGCTTGGTAATATCTGTTCCTATGAAATACATTTGTCAGGATGATACAAAAAGGAACATAGTTAATATCATTTCAGAGACTTTAGAAAATGCTTTTCATTCTAAATAACTAATATTCACTGAGCTTTTGCCAAAGTTCTCAGTGCTAAAGTTTCCAAGGTATCTTCTTACTTGGTCCTCACCACAACCTTAAAAGGCAGCTGGCTATTATTAGCTCCACTCTATAGACGGTGACACTGGGAGAGGTGGACCACACATGACTAATTCTAGAGCCTAAACTCTCAAATCTTAATCTCTTAACTGTCTTGTCCAATAGAACTCTCTGATGCCAAAGACAAATTACTCTATATTACTTGCATTCCTAATTTTAGCTGAAAATATAAATTAAGAGACAATATAAATCAACGTGTTCAAAGAGAACTTGAAGGCAGATATTTCAGAGTCAAGTCTAGATTAACATGACAGAAATAAGTAGCTTCCCCATCTGTTATTGCCTTTGGGCAGCTATCAGAAGAATAATTTTGTTCTGAAGGACTTGTGGTGGCTCTCAGGGCATATTATCTGCCAGTGTCTACTCCAAATAATCATGGGTGCATAGAACAATTTCTTGGAGAGAAGAACCAAAAAGAACTAAAAAGACCAATTTTTTTTCAACATGACAGTTGTCAATGTCTAGAGATTAAATGTTAACTGTGAAATTAGTTCTAATTGCAAGAATATACACCAAAAGCTTTCTAGTTTGATATAATGTGAATATATTACTTCTATGATTTTTGAACTTATTTTGAAAGCATAGAAAATTTACAAATACCGTAGTATGACCATTAATTTCTCTGCTTACCATGCTCACAGCTTTGTCCATAATAACCTTGGAGGCATTCACAGCTTCCAGAAAACCTGTTGCAAATTCCATAGTTCTGACATGTGCAATTAAAATGGCAGTTTGGGCCATAATAACCAGGAGAACATTCTGAGAAAGAAACCATGAAGCCATTATTTTTAGTTAACAGACAACTGAATTTAAAATGAGTTCAAAAGCTGGAAGAAAAAAAAAGAGACTTAATGAAAAAAAATGAAAGCACATGAACCATTGGCTAGCTCAACCAATTAAAATAAAGCACGCACATGTCCAGAATATTTTTTAAAGGATGGAGGAAATAACCATCAAAAATAAATAAATTTCAAAATTATAACCAAATAGATTTTTAAAATAAAATGAAAAATCTTACAGAAAACGACTTACCAAAATTGTCCTAATTTGAGGCAGAAACCTAGATAAGTCAATTACAATGAAAAAAATATAAAATAGCTCCCATATTAAAAAGGAAAAGCATCAGTACTGGTTTACAGGGAAATTCTATAAATATTTACCAATGAGTTCATCACCTTGCCACTTCAACTATTCCAGTGCATTTAAAGGAAGGAACATTTCAAATATATTTTATTGAGTGATTATAATATCAATTCCAATACGGAACAAAATTGCATAAATAACTTCTGCTCAATTTCTCTTATAAATAACAATACAGATTCGGTTTTAAAGGTATACAGATTCCAAAGGCACAATATAAAATAATGCATTATGACCAAATATTTATTCCTAACATATAAGGTCATTCAAAATTTAAAAATTCATAATATGTCATATTTATCAGCCTAAAAGGAAAACTCATATTATTAATTTCATATGTGAAGAAAAGAAAGTTGTAATACATTGAAACAGTAAAATATTGAATAAGTTATAAAATTAATTAGTCATATTTTAATATGAATATTAAAGTACGGCATCATACTCAACAAGGAGCAAAATATCTGAACTAATGGAAAGATATACCATGTCTGTTCTTATGGGATGAGTTTATATAAGAATCTTAACTCTTCCTGAGAGAAAGTAGACACAGGGACAATAAAACATCTGATTATTTTTTGTTTTGTTTTTCATTTAGATATTTGATTATAAAGTTCACTTGGAAGAACAAATGAACAAGAATAGGAAGAAAAATTCTGGATAAGAAGAGCAATTGGAAGGACAGAACTTTCATATTAAACATATCTAATAAAGCCTCCATAATAAAATTAGTGTTGCATTTGTACAAAGAGAGGCCAGTGGAATCTTAGATTTAGAAGGGCTATTGGGTTCTATTCAGCTCCATACTCTCTCACTTTAGGTGGGAAAACCAGTCCACAGAGAGGCTACCCAAAGACAGCCTGCATGGCATTAGCAGAGTGGTGGTTAGCATATATATATTTATCCATTCAAGTTGTAAGGTGTTCTTTTCTATATATCATGCTGTCAAATTTCATGACCATTAAATTAGAAGTGATGGATGGTGTATAATCACATTCATTGTGACCTAAAGAGCCATACACTCACAGTTGAAAACATCTAGATAAAAATTAACTGTAAATAAATAAATATACATGCAGACACACACACACACACACACACACACACACATACACACACACACACACGTATATTGTTTAAACTTAGGGCGCCCTAAGTTTAGGCCTCCAGCATACTGTCTCACAACAAGAACCATTGTTCTGAATTCTGCCAAAATACAATTTTTCTTCTGTAATAGTTTGCTCTAACTGTAGTTAGTAGCTGCTCTTCAGTGATGAACAAAATAATAAATTGTGGTTCAAGAAGAAAGTAACTATTAATATTTATCTTTTTCCATTTTAAAAAATATTTATCTTTTAGTTGTAGTTGGACACAATACCTTTATTTTATACATTCACTTTTTTTTTTTTTTAATATGGTACTGTTGAACCCAGGGTCTCGCAAATTGGAAGCGAGTGCTCTACCGCTGAGCCACAACCCCAGCCCAATCTTTTTCCATTTTTATTAATTAAAACTTTTATATATTGTATAATATACATATGATAGACAATGTATCAAGAAGTACAAGAATGTTATTGATAAATCAAAATATTTATACTAAATACATATATAACAATACAGGATTAAATTTTTCCTGATGAAGTCAAGTTTGGAGACTTCTGGCAGGTCACTATCACTTCCTTGCACTGGGTCTACTTCTAATGTGAACTGGTTCTTTTCAGGCCACACATCCTCCACCCTGCCTGCCTCAAGGCCTCAGTGGTGACTGAGGTTCTCCATTTCTCTGCCTAGAAATTGAAGGTTCAGAGGATGAGTTTATATACACAATGGCTTTGAACTTAAGAACTGGCTGAAGAGAGAATGAAATTTTGGTCTCAGAGGAGCTCTTGCACATTAATAATATTTCAATTACTTAAGAAGTTTAAGAGTTTCCATGTGATATTCCAGTAACAAGATAATCAATATTTACATACCTATTTTTATTGGAAATGCATAAAAAACTTGCATGCACTTACTTGAAAAACAGTTTCTTCACTAGCCTCTATTATAACCAGTGATGATACTCTATAAAGGGTGTGTGTGTGTGTGTGTGTGTGTGTGTGTGTGTGTGTGTATACATATATATATGTATATATATACACACATATATATATGTAATCATAAGGTACTATAACAACTTGCCTTTTTCACAATAATTTCCTGTCCACCCAAGACCACAGGTACAGCTTCCATCCACGATATTACAAAGTCCACCATTTTTACAGTTACAGTTTAATTCACAATTTGTGCCATATCTTGTCTGGGGACATCCTGCAGGAAAAAAAGTTTTTAAAATGTCAGACTGAATGAAAGTGTCATATGAGTAAACATCTTTCTGTACTCCAGATAAAGTAGCCATATCTAGACAGCAAAAGCATAACACAATTAAAGAATCCCCCAGATCTATCTGTAGGCTCACAAGCACATCACTGTCATTCATTCACTTTTCATTCACCCCATAAATATTTACTGAGCTTGTACTATGTGCCTGGCACACTGTGAACTGCAGGTATCCCAATGAATAATCAGCAATAATTCCCAATTAGAGGAAGGAGTATTTTATATAGTTAGTCTCATAATTGTTGAAGAAGAAAGATGAGCAGTTTGCTCCTTCACATTTGTGTACTGAAATCAAAAAAGCATTTCACCATAGAGCAGTGAAGAACACAAACTAAAATGCACTGCCAAGGGAAGTTAAGACAAAAGTAAGTGACAAGGTCCAGACATAAGGAAAACAGACTCTCCTTCATGTCCAGGAGAAGCACCTGAATGATGGGAAGTGCTACCAATGGGAGAATGGAGCCCCCTAGCCTGAGAATAATGTTCACATTTAGTTGATTTGGTCATGAGGAATATGGGCCCAATATTGCCAGCTAATAGGATTTTTTTTCAGGAAAACTGAAAATCCATATTTTATATGAAATTATCCAAACTTTGAAAGTTGGCAACTAATTAAAATAGTTTTACAGCACGGTGGAAGTCAAACTATGCCAGCCAATTCAAACACATTTGTGGCTAGATTTGGCCAAGAGCCTGCCATTTATGACCTCCAGTTTATAGTATTTTTACATAATGATATTTTCCACATGAATTATCTCATTTAATGCTCACAAATACCCCTGTGATGTGGATAACAGTATTCTTATTTTACTCTTGGGAAAATCGAAACTCAGAGACAGCCAGTAAGATTAAGAATCAAGACTCAAATTTAGAACATCTGACTTCTAATCAACTATTCTTTCAATTCCAGCTAGCAGGAGAGACATTAGAGATTTCTTTATTTTTTTAATTCCAGCTAGCAGGAAAAACATTAGACAGTTTTTTTTTTTAAACTTGCCCAGAGGCATTGGTTAATACAAAGCAGAGCAGGTATTTGAATTCAATATGCATGACACTTTTCTTTATTTGACTGAATAGCTGCACTTTACTTTAGAACTAAATGAAAGAAGGGTTTTGATTTTGTTAGGTAACATTTATAGTTGTATGATGAATGGTTGAATCTCCCTTGCATTTGTAATAGGCTACCTTAAGTTCACCACCTTTAAGTTAACTTCCCTAAGTTATCGTTTGCCTTTAAGGCAAATTAAACCTTGAAATGCTTTGTTGGAACCCAGGGAACTGTGAAAATATAGAATTCCTACTACCACTACCTCTAACCCCTGCTATCCCAAGATATACATATATATATATATTGAAGACTTAGAAATGTTTCTGCAGGCCTAAGTCTTAGGACAATATTTAGACAGAATTGTGAATAGAACATGGCTCTTGTAGAGTTAAGGTTATTGCACAATTCTTTCAAACAGTACGTAACAATATATATTATGGGATAAAGCATTCTATCGTACTCCAGTCTCCCTGATTCTCTTCTTAAATACCACCACCAAGTTTTCTCCATAGCATAGTTTCTCTTCTTTTACCCTGTCCACTCTATTGAAACCATTGATCCACCCCATGCTCTCTGGCCCCAGTCAGTCTCCATTTGTAATCTTACCACATATTTTATGCCCTCTAGAATACATGTAATTCACTTCCTAATTATGTTTATTGTTTATTATCTTCCTTACCCTCTAGGAAGCAATTTGCAAGAATATTGTCTATTTTACACATATTGTTCTGTATGCTTAAACAGGCATTGACTTCAATAAAAATTTGTCAAATTAAGTGGAGGATGACTGAATAGGTTCAGAAGTATTCCACATTAATGAAGTATTTGTAGGTGTATCTATCTTCCTTGTTTAACCTTTTTTTTTAAGCAAAAGGTTAATAGAGATGAATAATAACATAAATTTTGCTTTATTTGATAAATAAAATTCACCCAAGATTTTTTCTAATTAGCATAGGACTGACCAGTTTTTTAAAAAAATAAATAAATAAAATACTTGCATTGGAATTTATTCCATCACACAGAATTTATATTCCTCATTCCACAATTGATGGACAAGTAGATTGTTTAAAATAATTTTAGCATAAACAATGCCATAATGAATATATTATGTGTTTATTCAAATATAACATTATATTGGTAGAGCAAATTACCAGAAGGTTCTTTGGATAAAACAATATGTGCATTTTAAATTGTCGTTAACTTTATTAAATTTCTCTACAAAGAGATAAATACTAAGAAGTATTATCAATGTGGCTCTATTTCAATGTTTAGTTAATGTAGCATACTATGAAAATCTGATGGGGGAGACAATGGGATGTAAATAGAACTTAAGTTTGAATTTCTCACATTAGGAAAGAGGCTGAACAGCTTTGGATAAGCTCTATTGAGCCTGTGGATCCTTTTTTTTATCTATATATAGGGACACTTCTTTATTAAGAAAGTTAGTCCTTTGTTGGTCTTTATTCTTTCAGAGTTTGTTTATCTTTTGATTTTGTGTGTGTGTGTGGTGGAGATATTTTATACTTTGAAGACACTTTTGGTTTCCCTTAAACCCAAAAGACAATGTTATTTCTTTTTCTTTCATGATTTCAGATTTTTTCTCAGCTTTATATATGGTCTCATAATTTCTTTTTAAAGTCCTATGTTAATTCTTGTACCTTCATGGTTTTTATCAATTATCTTTAAGTACTTTATACAACCGGAAGTAATGTGGAGAACAAAGTTATATAAGATTTCCAACTTTACTTTTATCTAGATGGGTGGTCAGTGGTCTTAATGTAACTTCTTACCTAAGTCATATTATCCCTATTTTTACTTCAGTAATTCCTCATTTTCATTTTATTTTATTGTTTTATTGTTCTTTATTTTTATCACTTCTTATATACTAATGTATTCTAGAAGATATATTTTCCTCTAATTACTGAATTAGCTTTACCCTAAGGGTTCTAGATTTCATGATTGTTTTTTTTTTAATTTCTGGAATACCAATTTTATTTGCTTCTTTAAAAATCTACTAGGTATTTAAGAAGGTTATTTTTAAATGATGTGGTACAGGTTTTTTTTTCTTCCTGGAAATAGCATAAGTTTTGTTATTACTAAAATATGTTCTATGGACACTTGAAATAAAATATGTATTCTCTTATTATTGGATGGAGCTGTCCATACATGTTGATAAGATCATTTTGATTGCGTTTTTCTATAGCCTTGCTGAATTTATGTTCTATCAATTATTGACAAAGGGGTGTTGAAATCTCCAACTGTAATAATGAATTTGTCTGTTTTTCCCTTTAGAAGTATCAGACTTTTCTTCGTATATTTGGTGGCTGTACTATTTGAAGCAGACACATTTAGGAGTTCAGTGTCTTCTTAAGGAATGAATTCATCCTTATAAAATGGCCCTCTGTCACTGGTAATTTTTCTCTGCTCTGAAGTCTACTTCATCACATGGTATATTGTTTTCTATTCTTTTATTTCCAACTAATCTATATGTATGTTATATTCTCTCTCCTTATATTTATGTATATATAGGTAGACTGAAAGATAACGTTGTATGTTTTCTTTTGTATGGAATATGACATTTTGAAGTACATACACATTGCAGAATGACTAAGAAATGTATCATCTCACATAGATTTTTTTGGTAACAGCATATAACATTCCCAGTTTACACTGCTCAAGAACTGCATTTGCTTATTCACTTTAGTTTCCTTACTGTACAGTAATCTCCTGAGATTCATTCCTCCTCTCTACCTGTAATTATGCACCTGCAACAAATATCTCCCAGGGCTCCCTCCTTCCAGTTTCAACTAACCAGCCTCTAACAATCATCATTATATTCTCCTTATATGAGATGAATTTTTCTGGATTCAGTTTAGGAGTTAGATTATGTATTGTCTTTCTGTGCTTGGTTTACCGAATGTCCTCTGGGTTTATCCATGTTGTCACGAATGACAGAACATATTTTGATTGGTATATTTAGATGATTTTTTTATATTCAATGTAATTGCTAACATTTTAAGTTTGTCATTTTGTTTTTTAGTTTGTTCCATGTTTTTCATTTTCCAACTTCTTTTTAATTACTTTAGCATTTTGAATGCAATCTGATTTACCTATAGCATTTTCCAACTTATCTTTCCATATAGATTGTTCCTGATTCCTGTAGGTGTTACAGTATACATGTGTGACTTGTCATGCTCCACTGTGACATTTTTACCAATCTGAAAGAAGTGTAGAAACCTCAGATCCTTTATGTGCCTTTACCCTCCGCATTTATAATGCAATTATCTTAAAATTTTCTTCTAAATCCATTGAGAACTACATTTTTGCTTCCTTTGTCAAGCATATTTTAGAAAAGAGAAGGAAAATAAATTTCATGTATCTGTAATTTATTCTTTCCTTTTTTTGCAGTCTAAATTTCCTAATATTCTTCCTCATTTCTTTCAGTTTCAAGAATTTCCTTTAGGTATTTCTTTAAGTTAAGTCTACTGGCAATAGACATAATTTTCCTTCCTCTGAGGATATGTTTTTCTCCTTTATTCTTGGAGGATGCTTTCAGTGGATATAGGACTCTGGATTCAAAGTTTTTTGATTTTTGCTTTTTTTCTCTCAGCACTTGGAAAATGCTGCATCTCTCCTCAAGATTTTAATGAGAATTCTGCTGCCATTCGATGTGCACTTCCTCTTTAGCTGAGGTCTTTCTCTTTCACTGCTTTTCAGATTTTTTTTTTAATTTTCAGAAGTTGAAATGTGTTTTTCAAATATTTTTGAGTTTAACCTTTTTGGCAATCATTCATTTTCTTGACTTTGTAGACTTACATTTTTTTGTTGTTGTTATACTTGAGACATTTTCAGTCATTTTTCCTTCAAATACTTGTTTGGCCTTCTCCATTTCTCCTCTCTTCCTGAACTCACTTTTCTTATGACATAAATGTTATATTTTTT